CAAAGTGGTTAAAGGCATGAAACTCTGGTCAAAGATGGGATCTGGATTCTTGACATTCAGCGTCAGCGGAGCAACCCCCTACAAAGTTTTTGCAGGTTCTGGTTAGGTTACAAAACCTTAATCATCAAACAAGAACACAGAAGTAAGAAATGAGAATGCTTACGTGATGTATAGCAAGGATACTGAAAATAGCTTCCACTGCTCCAGCTGCTCCAAGAAGATGACCAGTAGCCCCCTTCAGTCAAAAGAAGTAAAATCATTTAAAGACAACAGTTTGAGACAAAGTCTCCTCTCTTATTTATTTATCACTTGGACTATAAGTCAAACTCTTCAGTAACATCATGTGAATAAGAAACATGGGGCATTTTTTACCTTGGTGGAGGAGAATGCCAAGGTTCCTGATGTAGCATGTTCAGAGAAAACGGTCTTGATAGCTCTTGCTTCCACGGCATCGCCTAGAAATTGGATTTGATAACACAATCATCAGTTCAGTTTTTGTAAAACCAAAGCGAACCAACACAAAGTTTCAATCTTTTTACCTATTGGGGTTGATGTTGCATGTGCGTTTATATAATCAACTTGGTTAGGACAGAGACCAGACTGAAAAGTCATGGACATTTAACCAAATCATTAGAATTCAAACTGCTAAAACCAGAATCATAAATGATCATCAACAGAAACCATTGTAGGAGTACCATAACAACAAAACTGCAGTTAACCAAGGCTGTAGATTAATAATATGGAGCTTACCTGTCGTAAGGCACGTGTCATGGCCAAAACAGCTCCTTTTCCATCTTCAGGAGGTTGAGTAATATGGTGTGCATCGCCTAATTATAAAGAAGATTCATTCTTAATGAATCCAAAATGTGTTTTTATTATTATTATCTATGAAAGCAAAATTCGTTTTACTATTATCTATGAGCTTAACCTGACATCCCATATCCACAAAGCTCAGCATAAATCTTTGCTCCGCGTCTTTTTGCATGCTCATATTCCTTTCGTTATAACCAGAAATAAAAACAAAGATTATATATTAGGATCAAAAAACAGCTGAGGGGGTGACTATCCAAGACTCCAGAGTTTAGGTAAAGGACATATCTTCTTCCATAAAATTTTACCTCTAATACTATAACCCCTGAACCTTCCCCTATCCTGCAACCAAATCAAAAAGGATGGAATCAACATCGCCAAAACAGGGGGTTTTCACATAAAAAACGAAGAATGTGACTTACACAAAACCATCCCGGTCACAATCAAAAGGTCGTGAAGCTTCTTGTGGAGAAGAATTGAATTTAGTTGACAAAGCCCTTGATCTGAAAAAAGGTTCAAAATTTCATTTAAACATTTGTGTTTGTTGTGTCTGTGCCTATCTAAGATGACGTAGCATAGTTTTTAGGCATTAACGCACTAACAGTGGATAGTAATCTGCTGACACTGGACCATATGCCTTTTGTATCCAAGAAAGAGAGCTTTTTTATACACAAAAAGCGTGTGAGACCGATCATTAGTTACCTAGAGAATCCAGCAACGGACAGAGCATCAATGCTGGACTCAGTTCCACCTGCCACCATAACATCTGCATCTCCAAATTGAATCATCCTAGTGGCATCCCCTATAGAGTGTGCACCAGTTGCGCAAGCTGTCACAGCAGCATGGTTTGGTCCCTATATTCAAAAGCATGGCAATGCTATGCAAACGGTTTTCTACTTAAGAACATCAGAGGACAATTCTAGACACGTTCTGGAGTAGAAACGAATAGTCCTCAATATTTGGACTATTTTAACAAACCTCCTTATAATTAAGCATTCAATGGAGAATCTCAACATATTAAGGTATCAAAGTCATTTCCAATCCATATTAGCTCATGTTCTTCACCTATTTAAATCCCAAATTCCCTCATTATCATAACAACTTGTCAATTTTGGAGCTTTTTTTGTACCAAAATACCCAAAGGAAGTGTTGCAGAACTAAAACACCAAGTACAGAACTCTAAGCTAGCAAATATTGAATAACCTAAGATGTTCAATTGTTCATACTATTTTGCATAAAAGAAAATTGAAAAATTCAACGCACCTGAAATCCATACTTCATACTCACATGACCAGATGCCATGTTTACCAATATTTTTGGAATGAAAAACGGACTAAGCCGCCGCAGCCTCTGCATTACCATAATCGTTAAGTCTTAAAAGCAACTAAGATAAACTAATCCTTAAAAATCTGTAATTCCTGAGAAAATGATGCAAAGACGACATAAAGGTCTAACCTTTTCACAAATCAGCTGCGCTGCCTCCACAATATCACTTATACTTCCAATTCCACCACCAATAGAGACTCCCTGGTATTCCAAAATTTCCAAAATCAGAGAAGAAAAACTAAAAAGCACAATTCCTCATCATATGATGTACAACAGATGAGGACTACTTAACTGTTCTTTCTTTTTCTTCCTCCTCAGTTGGTAACCACTCTGCATCTCTCAAGGCTTCATCAGCAGCACATAAAGCATATCCGATAAAATTCGCAACTGCCTCCATGATTCAAAAAGAACAATAACAGAACCTTAACTTTATACATATCTCTGACAAACAATATCAAGCTTCCAAAGGACAGAAAATGAGAAGCACTAATCCAAAAAATGTTTCCTCTATGAAAAAGTACAAAGACATTGCTGCTCAGTGAGGCAATGTTGTGGATAGCAAGCAACAAGCAATGCTTCCAACCAAATTCACCACATCATAATCTAAAACTTTATGATACAACATGATATTTGACTTTGTTCCTAGTAATCCTGTCCTAATAACTTGCAGAGCCAGTTTATTTAAGAAGAAAGAGATACCTTAGAGTTTAGCCAAAGGGCCTCATCAAATTCACCAGGGTTTGATCCATAAGGCACAAAAGCAGCAACTTTAGAAGAAAGCTGATCAAAAGTATATAACTTTGTCTCTTCATCAAAAGACTTCATCTTTAGATCATCAAGAGTCAATCCTCTAATCCCACATTCTCCATCAATTAAACGCCTCCATGTTGTTTCAACGCCTCTCCCAAGTGGAGTCACCATGCCTAGGCCTGCATGAACAATGTCTAATCAGAGAAATTACAGAGATAAGTATATGTGAAGACATGGAAATGGAGTGAGAAGGAGACCAGTGACAACAACACGGCGATGTGAAGGATGAGAAGAAGTAGTGATGAAGCGGGTCAAACGGAGACGATTTGAGCTCAAGTGTCTACGGAGATAAGAGGTCGCCATTTCACAGCGACCGTGACGGAGACGACGGCGATGATGGGTGGATACGACGGCGAAAGAGTGGAGCTTTGAGAATTTATCAGCGATTTTAGTTCTTCCTTTTTTTCTTCCAGAAATTAAAAAAACGGTTTAGTTACCCAATGGTTTAGCCAATCAATCGGTTTAACCGGAAATTAGTTATTAATTCTTGCAAATAATCGTTAACCAGACTATGATTAATCATCCAACCGTGATTGTAGGAGGTTTTCCTAGAGGTGGGCATAATATTTAAATCCGAGCACCCGATCGGAAGCTGATAAAAAAATCTGATCCGAATTCGAACCCAAAATTTAAAATATCCAAAACAAATTATAGTTTTCAAAATCCGAATATGATCCAAACCCGAACAAATACCCGAATAGATCCATACTTTAAACCCACAGTAATAATATATTATAAATATTTATATTTGGATATTTTGGATATTTAATCTACTTTTGAGTTAAATTTGGGTAAAAAATATTCAAAAATTTAGATATTTTGCGTTTTTCGGGATTTCTTTTTAATAGATTTGGGTTATAAAAACTTTGATTTAGGAACTTCGGATAATTGGTGTGGTGGTTTTGCGCTTAATATCGGGATATGCTCAGCACCGCTAGCAGAGTTATGGGGAGTCTACTATGGCTTATACATAGCTTGGGAGCGAGGCATTACACGTTTGGAGCTGGAGGTTGATTCTGAGATGGTGGTTGGTTTTTTGCGGACAGGGATTGAGGATTCACATCCGTTGTCCTTCCTGGTACGTCTGTGCCATGGCTTTTTATCGAAGGACTGGTTAGTCCGAGTTTCACATGTGTATAGGGAGGCTAATCGTCTTGCGGATGGATTGGCTAATTATGCGTTTTCTTTGCCTTTGGGTTTTCATTTGTTTACGTCGAGTCCAGAGAGTGTTAATTTAATTTTGTTGGAGGATATTAACGGGCCTGCGCGTCCTAGAAATGTTCGTTTGTAATTCGTAATTTTTTTTTTAATAAAATGGGGGTTCGCCCCCCTCTCCTACCAAAAAAAAAAAAAAAAAAGGAACTTCGGATAATTCGAATCCGAACCCAAAATATCCAACCTGAACCCGATCCGAATCTAAAATCTACAAACACCAGAATGAATTTTATACTTCTAAACCCAAAATCCGAAATATCTGATCCGAACCCTAACGGGTATCCGAGTGCCAACCCCTTTTCGAACCAAATGATCACAACTTTGATTTTCCACAACTTATATAAAGTAAATAAATAAATTAATAAAGTTTGCCATAATAATTCAACTAATTTACTAAATAAACTATTTCTCGTTTACCAACTAGATTTATGAAAAAGTTACAACTTTATTACTTAACTTTTACCTCTAAAACCTACATAGTTAACATTAATGAATAATGAAATTGGCATAAAACAAATCCCTATCAAAATTAACAAAATTCAATCCATAAAAGGACTATATACTCAACTAAAAGAAGAAAAGAAGAAAAAAGAAAATTCTTTTTTTCTTTCGGTAAATTCTGAATAATAAAAATATAAAAGAAAAATTTGAAAATTTGCAATAAATGTTAAGTTAACAATTTTGACTCAGTTAGATCTCACCCGTATCTTACAGAACTGAAACTCACAAAGTGTTTAAAGAAGATTTACACAAATCTAAACTCCACGTGGCACGTATCTATCCGAATCGTATTAATCCCATCGAAGAAGAAAACAATTCTTCATAATATATATTTTTTTTCTCTTCACAAAAACTCTCCTTCTTCTTCTCCTTCCCAATTCTTCCGTTCAAAAATTTCTCCAAACCCAAACCCTAATTTTCTCCGTCTGTGAAATCAAGGGTTTTCTCTGATCTGGGTTTTGATCAGAAATCGGATCTAAGAATTTGATTATGAGGAAGAGAGAAAGAGAGAACCCTTGTTCGATTTGTGGGCATTACCATAAGTACGAAGAAGGTGAAGTATGTGGAATCTGTGGTCACTGTATGCCTGTTTCTTCCGATACTGTGGCGGCGCAACAAGTCCACGTCAGTGCTTTTCCGTCGGAGATTCTCCCTGAGTTTCTTTACCTCGGTAGTTACGACAACGCTTCTCGCTCTGAGCTTCTTAAGACTCAGGGGATTTCTCGTGTTCTTAATGTGAGTTTCTTTGGTTTTTATCAAGAATTTGATTTGAATTCTTGAATTGGTTCTTGATGTTAGCAAAGAGTATGATTTGATTTGAATCTTTGAATCAGTTTCTTGAGTTAGGATTAATCTGGCTTTATCTTATACTTAGTAATATTACTAATTGATGGCTTTTAAAAAGTGTGGATGATTATAAAATATGAACACAAATTTTGGTTTTCTTTCACTTATGGTTTCTGTTAAAATTCCTGTTATGGTAATTGATAATTGAGAGGAATGTGTTTTTATTTTTTGTATTGACTCTGTTTTTGTTACTCTGTTTCAGACGGTTCCTATGTGCCAGAATCTCTACAGGAATTCATTCACTTATCATGGTCTTGATAATGAAAAAGTTTTACAGTTTGATGATGCTATCAAGTTTTTAGGTTTGAGATTCTATCTCTTAATTTTAAATCCTATTTTCTAAACAGTGGATTTGATCTTTTTTGTTTTTTAATTCATGTTTTGGTGTTATACTGTGTAGACCAATGTGAGAAGGACAAGGCACGTGTTCTTGTGCATTGTATGTCTGGGAAAAGTAGGTGAGTACATTTATCATTCTCTTATTATCATCTAAATTTGCGGCTGCTTTCTTAAGATTGCCATGAATTATTTAGACTAATACAGTGATATGTTTTGAGTCTTAATCCCTCTTGTGTTTCGATTACATGACAGATCACCAGCGGTTGTTATAGCGTACTTGATGAAGCGTAAAGGGTGGAGACTCGCTGAGAGTCATCAGTGGGTTAAACAACGGAGAACAACTACGGACATAAGTCCAGGCAAGTACTTAGACTTTGGATTAGAAACTTATCGTTCTTGAAACTGTTGCTCATTGCTTTTTCTTTGTACACAGAGTTTTACCAACAACTGCAGGAGTTTGAGCAGTCGATATTCGGATCTGGGATGATGTCGGCGATGAATATCAACGATGCTCCAACATTTGGGTTTGGTTTCCCTAAGATTGATAATCAAGCACAAGCACCTGTGTTCAACAATGCTCCTACTTCTTCTATATTTTCATCTCCTGCTTCAAGTATCCCTCCTCAAGAGTTCACTTTTGGAGCAACTCCAACAAAGCCAACAACCGGTGGTGATATCGCCATGGATGGCTCCTAGAACCAGATAATCACTCTTGCAAGAATTTTCATCAACAAATATACTGTTGTGAGAATGTTTCTTTTTCTTCTTTTTTTTGTACATGGAGATTGGTGCATTGCTTGAGAGAGTTTGGGGTTTGAGAACATGAGATGAATCTTTCTTGTTTTGGTGTTTTTGCATCTATCTCTATGTTCAAGGAAAGCATCTTTGTCTGGTTTATTCTTCATTATCCCATGATTCTGTATCTATCTTTACAGCGAAATACCATTATACCAGTTATGACAAGCCACACTAGGTGGGATCTTACCTGTTTGTCTTAGCCTCCAAAGCAAATAAGCTAAGACAGTCAATACTTTCACTTTATTCTTTTATGCTTTCCAAAGCCCTTGTTGTCTGTTTGTCTTAGACTTCAAACCAAATAAGCTGAGACAATCTAATCGACACGGATCATAATCGCCTTTAACTGTAATTTATCATATGTTAGAACTCTTATGATAAAAGTTCCAACCTATAGCAAGAATAACAGAGCTGAGAAAATAATCTCAGTGTACTCTAGTATCAAACAAGGGGGTCCTTATGAGTGATGACAATGTGTGACCAAAAAAACTAAAGTGTTACAAGCCAGTGCAATGAATATGATTCACGAGAGTTTTTAGTGCTTGACATAACTAAGAATAGTCGAAGCTGCTAAAATGCTTGGTGTATATCGATGAGATTCCAAACCAGTGCAATGAATTGAGCTGCCCATTCTGCTTTCTGACGGATGCAAGAGCTGTATCAACTTCTCAGCACCAACAACTTGTCTTTCTCTCATCTTTTCATCCAAGAGTAGTCTCCTACAATTTCAAACAATATCTCACATCATCATCATCATCATCATGCCCATTCTCAATTGCCGGATAACATAATATAAAGTAAAAGTGGGTATAAAGAAAAAGATATACTCTAGTATCGAGGCGAGATTCGAAGGGTTGCAAGCTTGAAACAAAGCTTCAGGAATGATTGGGGAGTCTAGGAGAATGTTTGGAAGAGAAATATAAGGTATCTTGGCTTTGTAACGGATTAATAGCTCTGTTAGAAAATGTGCTCGGTAAGCAACAAGAGAAGGTAGACGAGCAAGCTGCAACTCAACAGCAACTGTTCCTGAAGTGCATAATGCAGCCTGACTCACCTGTTATTACAGAACACCGCACAATGAGAGGACCAAAACAGAAGAGACACTGAGAACGAGGTTTTGGAGACTTACGCCAAAGGCATCATATTTAAGCTGAGTGGATCCACCAGGGACTAAAATTGCTGGAACTGGCCACCCACCAAGGGATTCTCCAATGTAATGATCAACTTGACTATTGGATGCAACATGGATGAGCGTTACTAGTTTTGGAAACGGGTCTTTGAGTAGCTTCATTGCTTTACAAAATATGGGTAGCATTCTTTCAGCTTCTTGTAATCTGCTCCCTGGTAGCACCGAAATGATAGTGGAGTCTTGTTTCATGAAAATTTATGCAATGCAGAAAAAGAACAATGAGAAATCAACAAAAGTAGCTATTCAATCTGTAAATAAGGTTAATCATTTAGATAAACTTCACATTACCAGAAGGTATTGAGTGTTCGCTAAAACTCAAGCCTTCAAGTTTCAGTTCCTGAGGCTTGCACGTCCTCACCTGTGGCAATAAAGAGCACCATTTCACTAAGGAATCCGAGAGAGTATCATAGAAACTGAGGTAATTCAAGAAGAAGAAGAAGAAGAAAACGCATACAAGGTTGAACTCAGAAGCATCCTCAAGAGCCGGATGTCCAACAAAGGTTGCTTCAACCCCATGTTCCCTACAAACCCTTTCCTCATTCGGAAGAATGCAGAACAGATGATCAACGAATTCAGACAGACCTCCAAGTCTTGACTCTCCTCCTTTCCAAGCCCAGAACGACGGTGCGACATAGTGAAAATGCACAGGACAATTTTCCAACCGCTGCTGATTGTATCTAGCTGCAAAGCCAAAAAGCATTCCTCCATTGTCCTACATGATATATGTGACTTCATTCAGGAACTTTTGGCTCCGAAAAGCCATTTATAAGGTTCCCATTTCTCTACTTCTTCAATTTCTACTTCCGAAAAAAAACTTCAAGGACATCATCCTAGACATTAAAGTCAGATTAAGCATAAACAAGTTCCTACTGGAGAAGAAGTTTTCATACATATATCTTTGGTACAATTCAGCAAAACTGTGCTTTTCGAAAACCGCAATGAAGGTTTGAATATAGTATGTCTTAGTCGCTAAGAAACATTGTTTAGCAAGTATTATATTCACTAAAGCTCAATGACTCTCTCTTACAAGTTTTGTGTTGTTTACCTCGTAACTCCTTAAGTAGACGAAAAGAGAAGCCCTTTGAATCAACAGTCACAACAATGTGTGGCTTAAACTTAACCGCAGCATCAATAGTCTCCTTCAACTTCACCTGAAATCTCAAAACTAGACTTGTCAATCAAAATGATCTAGAGTAGCTTTATATCAAACCATTCAAAAGGTTAAGTAAATTACTCACACGGAATTTATACAAATGTGGCAAAAGCTCCCACAAACCCATTACAGCCAAATCCTCCATTGGAAACAAAGAAGTCAACCCTTGCTTGCACATCAAGGATCTTACCACCGTATTAAACATCAAATTGTTAGAAACAAATGTTCCAAATTTATGGAATTTTCAATAGAGAATCAAAACTTTTCATAAGAATCTTCCTAATTGGGGAAAACCCAAGTGCTTACCCTCCAACTCCATTGAAACGAAGGGGTAAAGGAGAGAGCTTTTTAAGCGAGGACATAAGACGAGAGCCAATGTTATCGCCGGAAACTTCGCCGGAGACAATGAAGACTCTCAGCTCCCCATCGATTGCAGCCTTGTCGATCACCGATTTAGTAGCTTGAAATGATGAGTATCTTTTGGTGAATGTTGAGAGTGGGAAACAAAGTTTGGTCTTTGGAATCTGAAACATCTCTTTGGAGAAGACAGAGAATCAAAAACCCTGTTGTTGTTGTTGAACAATGAACTGCGATGAAAAATGTAAGCAAGGTTTCTCGGGAGGACTTTAATGGGCCTTTAAAGCCGACTTCATATTTGCATGTTATTAAGGCCCATTAATGATAGTGATGATCATTTTCATTTTAACTGATTTTAAGTAGACAGTATAGTGATATCCGTACGAAGAGTTATTTACTTATTTGCAAGATTTGGAACCTTTTTGAGATTTGTGAAATCCTTTCTGATTTCTTCATCGGCTAATTTAATTGTAAGGAAGCTAGCCAAGATTGGGGCGGTTCCAATCATAATTAGCATTTAGAGGGATGAAGTGCAGGGCGGTCCTTGAGTTTTGGTGGCCTAAAGCATACTTAAATAATATATTTTTATATATAAAATTAATGTTAATAATTTGTCATTTAAATACTAAAATATATATAAAAGTTCAGTTTTGTTTGAAGAAATTAAAAATATTATATAAGACTTTGTAGCCAAATTATAATAAATAAATAACAATTTTCTCCCACTTTACATAATAGAAAGAAAAAAACACGTCGTAATCAAAAAAAAAAAAAGAGAACCGACTAAAACAAAGGGAAAAAAAAATAGAAACAAAAAGTGTAGAAGTTAAGACTCGAACCCACCCACAGGTGACACAACAATGAGATAAATAACCAACAGACTAAAGGAAACTTCTCAGATATGCTACCCTAACGTTTTTGTTATATTTTGTGGCCCAAAGCAAATGCTTTAGATGCCTTATGGGTGGGCTGGGCTTGATGAAGTGGCTTCATCAGGGTCGGCCCTGAGATTTTGGGAGGTCAAATGCCCAAAAAAAAATTTTTAAGTTATTTTAAAAGGTTTAAAAAATTAGGGCCAACTATCGTAAAAAGAAATAAAATAAGGGCCGTTTTGTAAATAAGATTTGCCGAAGAATCTCAGAAAAATTTGGGAGCTTGAGCAAATGTTTCACTCTGCTATGTTCAGGGCCTGTCCTAGCTTCGTAATCAAGTGTTTTTGGTTTTTTTGCCCTAGTTTATTTGTTGTATTTATTGTTTTGCCTTCGGGCTAAAACTATGTTCATGTACTTTACTTATCATTTAAAGATGATAAAAAGAAATAATAGCTTTGAAATTTATATTTCATGATCATTAAAATATACAAAAGGGGAACTATATAATATCACTCCAAGTTCTTTGCATTTAACAATGTTAAATATGGTAATGGAATTTGATAAAACTATGCAATTGTTACTCATATCAAAATTTAAAAGCACACATTTTATTTCTTTTTTGACGAGACGGTTGATAGAGATGATCAGGCAGGCGGAGAGTTTGATTGTGACAGTCCAGCCTTTCATACAAGAAATGGCGGTGACCGTTTTGCCCTAAAAAAATATCTCAAGATGTAACACATACGCCTTCTCGTAGAGCACTCCCAGAAGCTACCCTGAAGCCTGATCGTGCTTGGACATTTATATTTACATTCTTTGATTGAAAATTTTGATTATATTTTTCTAAAATTGATTACTGGTCATATATATATACTACTATTTATTGGGTTTTAGGGATTGAAAATTTGTGACCTAAGTATAAGAACAAATAAAAGTAGATATTTAAGAAAGTGTCAATATCTTTCTCTCTTCTAACTAACTTGAGTTTAGAGACGAGTTTAGGAAGGTAAATTTTGCTAGATTATAGATTTTTTACAAACACATAAATAAAACAAAGAGAAATATAAAACTAAAAACTATGCAGCAAACAACAGTACCGCAGAAGGCCACAAAACTAATATTAATTGAATGGATCTCTCGATCTTAAAATTGAATTACTTTCTTAACTTTTTATTTTGTTTTGGTAAAATGTAAAAATTTATGCTAGATTTTAGATTTTTTAAACACAGGGAAATAAAACAAAGAGAAACATAAAAACAAAAATACTATGCAGCACTCCAGAAGGCAACAAAAGATGAAATTAATGAAAGGAGCTAGAACAACCTAACGGAAGAAGATACGAGAAACTGTAGATGTTGCCACGAGTGAACCGAGATCCAAACCCAGCCTTTAACATCAAAAAAGAGAGTTTCAAATCAAATTTTGAACTGTTTAAAATAGATAAACAAAACAAAAAAGTTCACTCAGATTGATTTTAATTGAATGGATCTCTCGATCTTAAAATTGATTTACACTCTTAACCTTTTTTCGTTTTGGTATAATGTAAAAACTTATATAAGAGATTTTTTACAAAAACAGAAATTAAACAAAGAAAAACATAAAAATAAAAATTATGTAGTAAACAATAGTACTACAGGAGAGGCCACAAAAGAAGAAATTAACAAAAGGAGCTGGAACGTTCTGAGTTCTGACAGAAAAAGCCACGAGAAAACCGTCGATGTTGCCACGAGTGAACCGCGATTCGAACCCAGCCTTTAACATATAATTAGGATCGAGTTAGAGAAGGTTAAAGATGACAAAAAGAGAGTTTGAAATCAATTTTTGGACTGATTAAAATAGATAAACATAAAAATAAAACAAAGAAAAACATAAAACTAAAAACTGCAGAAACAACAGTACTGCAGAAGGCCACAAAAGATGAAATTAACGACAGGAGCTAGCATGTTCTGACGAAAGAAGACACGAGAAAACCGTCGATGTTGCCACAAGTGAACTGCGACCTGAACCTACCTTTTAACATATCATTAGCATCGAGTTAGAGAAGGTAAAAGATGACAAAAAGAGAGTTCGAAATCAATTTTTGGACTGTTAAAATAGATAAACGAAACAAAAAATTTCACCCAAACTGACATTAATTGAATGGATCTTTCGATCTTAAACTTGAATTACACTCTTAAATATTTTGTTTTGGTAAAATGTAAAAATTTATACTAGATTTCATATTTTTTACAAAAATGGAAATAAAACAAAGAGAAAAATAAAACTAAAAACTATGCAGCAAACAACAGTACTGTAGAAGGCCACAAAAGATAAAATTAACGAAAGGAGCTCGAAATTCCTGATGGAAGAAGACACGAGAAAACCGTCGACGTTGCCACGAGTGAACTGCGATCAGAACCCAGCCCTTAACATATCATTAAGATCGAGTTAGAGAAGGTGAAAGATGACAAAAAGAGAGTTTGAAATCATTTTTTGGAATGTTTAAAATAGATAAACAAAACAAAAAAAGTTCAACTAAACTGATATTAATTGAATGGATCTCTCGATCTTAAAATTGAATTACACTCTTCACTTTTTTTTTGTTTTGGTAAAACATAAAGAATTTATACTAGATTTTAGATTTTTTACAGACACAAAAGTAAACGAAGAGAAACATAAAACTAAAAAAAACTAGGCAGCAAACAACAGTACTCGAGAAGACCACAAAAGATAAAATTAACCAAAGGAGCTAGAACGTTCTGAGGGAAGATGACACGAGAAAATCGTCGATGTTGCCACGAGTAAACTGCTATCCTATCGTAGCCTTTAACATATCATTAGGATTGAGTTACAGAAGGTAAAAGATGACAAAAAAGAGTTTGAAATCAATGTTTGGACTGTTTAAAAATCGATAAACAAAAAATAAAAGTTCACCCAAACTGAAATTAATTGAATTGATTTCTCGATCTTAAAATTGAATTACACTCTTAACTTTTTTGTTTTGGTAAAATATAAAAATTTATACTAGATTTAAGATTTTATACAAAAAACGGAAATAAAATAAAGAGAAACACAAAAGCAAAACCATGCAGCAAACAATAGTACTGTAGAAGGCCGTAAAGGATGAAATTAACGAAATGAGCTAGAAAGCTCTGACGGAAGAAAACACTAGAAAACCGTTGATGTTGCCACGAGTTAACCGCGATCCGAACTTACCCTTTCAAATATCATTAGAATCGAGTTAGAGAAGGTAAAAGATGACAAAAAGAGAGTTTGAAATCAATTATTGGACTGTTTAAATAGAGAAACAAAATAAAACATTTCACCCAAACTAATATTAATTGAATGAGTCTCTCGATCTTAAAATTGAATTACACTGTTAACTTTTTTTTGTTTTGGTAAAATGTAAAAATTTATAATAGATTTTTGACTTTTTACAAACGCGGAACTAAAAAAGAGAAACATAAATCTAAAAACTATGCAGCCCTGCAAAAGGCCACAAAATATGAAATGAACGAAAATAGCTAGAACGTTATGACAGAAGAAGAGAAGCAAAAACCGTTGATGTTTTCACGAGTGAACCGCGATCCGAAGTTAGCCTTTAAAATATCATTAAGATCGAGTTAGAGAAGGTAATAGATGACAAAAAGAGAGTTTGAAATCTTTTATTGGACTGTTTAAAATAAAGAAACAGAGCAAAACATTTCACGAAACTGATATTACCTGAATGAATATCTCGATCTTAAAATTGAATTACAATCTTAACTTTTTTTTATTTTGGTAAAATGTAGAAAAATTATATCATAGATGTTTTACAAAACCGGAAATAAAACATACAAAAACATTATAAAAAAAAACCAGGAAGCAAACAACAGTACTGCAAAAGGCCAGAAAAGATAAAATTAACGAAAATTGCTCGAAATTCCTGATGGAAGATGACACGAGAAAACCTTTGATGTTGCCACGAGTGAACCGCGATCATAACCCAACCCTTAACATATCATTAAGATCGAGCTAGAGAAGATAAAAGATGACAAAAAAAAAAAGAGTTTGAAATCAATTTTTGGAATGTTTAAAATAGATAAACAAAACAAAAAAAGTTCAGCTAAACTGATATTAATCGAATGGATCTCTCGATCTTAAAATTGAATTACACTCTTAACTTTTTTTTTGTTTTTGGTAAAATATAAAAATTTATACAAGATTTTTGATTTTTTACAAACACGAAAACAAAACGAAGAGAAATATAAAACTAAAAAAAAACTAAGCAGCAAAAACCAATATTCGAGAAGACCATGAAAGATAAAATTAACCAAAGGAGCAAGAACGTTCTGGCGGAAGAAGACACGAGAAAACCGTCGATGTTGCCACGAGTAAATTGCTATCCTATCGTAGCTTTTAACATATCATTAGGATTGAGTTAGAGAAGGTAAAAGATGACAAAAAGAGAGTTTGAAATCAATGTTTGGACTGTTTAAAATCGATAAACAAAAAAGAAAAGTTCACCCAAACTAACATTAATTGAATTGATCTCTCGATCTTAAAATTGAATAACACTTTTAACTTTTTTGTTTTGGTAAAATATAAATATTTATACTAGATTTAATATTTTATACAAAAACAGAAATAAAATAAAGAGAAACATAAAACGAAAACCTATGCAGCAAACAACAGTACTGTAGAAGGCTGTAAAAGATGAAATTAACGAAAGGAGCTAGAAAGCTTTGCCGGAAGAAAACACTAGAAAACCGTTGATGTTGCCACGAGTGAACCGCGATCCGAACCTACCCTTTCAAATATCATTAGGATCCAGTTAGAGAAGGTAAAAGATGACAAAAGAGAGTTTGAAATCAATTTTTGGACTGTTTAAATAGAGAAACAAAATAAAACATTTCACCCAAACTGATATTAATTGAATGAATCTCTCGATCTTAAAATTGATTACACTGTTAACTTTTTTATTGTTTTGGTAAAATGTAAAAATTTATAATCGATTTTTGACTTTTTACAAACACGGAAAAAAAAAAGAGAAACATAAATCTAAAAACTATGCAGCCGTGCAGAAGGCCACAAAATATGAAATTAACGAAAATAGCTAGAACGTTATGACAAAAGAAGAGAAAAGAAAACCGTTGATGTTTTCACGAGTGAACCGCGATCCAAACCTAGCCTTTAAAATATCATTAAGATCGAGTTAGAGAAGGTAAACGATGACAAAAAGAGAGTTTGAAATCTTTTTTTCGACTGTTTAAAATAGAGAAACAAAACAAAATATTTCACCCAAACTGAAATTAATTGAATGGATATCTCGATCTTAAAATTGAATTACAATCATATTCTTTTTTTTTTGGTAAAATATAAAAAAATATATGATAGATTTTTTACAAAAACGGAAATAAAACAAAGAAAAACATAAAACTAAAAAAAAACTAGGCAGCAAACAACAGTACTGCAGAAGGCCACAAAAGATGAAATTAACGAAAGGAGCTAGAACGTTCTTACGGAAGAAGACACGAGAAAACCGTCGATGTTGCCACGAGTAAACTGCTATCCTGTCGTAGCCTTTAACATATCATTAGGGTTGAGTTAGAGAAGGTAACAGATGACAAAAATAAAGTTTGACATCAATGTTTGGACTGTTAAAAATAGATAAACAAAAAGAAAAGTTCACCCAAACTAACATTAATTGAATGGATCTCTCAATCTTAAAATTGAATTACACTCTTAACTTTTTTGTTTTAGTAAAATGTAAAAATTTATACTAGATTTATGATTTTATAAAAAAACGGAAATAAAACAAAGAGAAACGTAAGACCAAAAACTATGCAGCAAACAACAGTACTGTAGAAGGCCATAAAAGATGAAATTAACGAAAGGAGCTAGAAAGCTTTGACAGAAGAAAACACGAGAAAACCGTTGATGTTACCACGAGTGAACCGCGATCTGAATCTAACCTTTAAAATATCATTAGGAACGAGTTAGATAAAGTAAAAGATGACAAGAAGAGAGTTTGAAATCAATTTTTGGACTGTTTAAATAGAGAAACAAGATAAAACATTTCACCCAAACTGATATTAATTGAATGAATCTCTCGATCTTATAATTGAATTACACTCTTAACTTTTTTTTGTTTTGGTAAAATATAAAAATTTATAATAGATTTTTGACTTTTTACAAACACGAAAATAAAAAATAGAAAGATAAATCTAAAAACTATGCAGCACTGCAGAAGACCACAAAATATGAAATTAACGAAAATAGCTAGAACGTTATGACAGAAGAAGAGAAGAGAAAACCGTTTATGTTGCCACGAGTGAACCGCGATCCGAACCTAGCCTTTAAAATATCATTAAGATCGAGTTAGAGAAGGTAAAAGATGACAAAAACAGAGTTTGAAATCTTTTTTTGGACTGTTTAAAATAGAGAAACAAAACAAAACATTTCACCCAAACTGATATTACTTGAATGGATATCTCGATCTTAAAATTGAATTACAATCTTAACTTTTCTTTTATTTTGGTAAATTTAAAAAATTATATCATAGATTTTTTACAAAACCGGAAATAAAACAAAGAAAAATATAAAAAAAAAAAAAAAACTAAACGGCAAACAACAGTACTGCAGAAGGCCACAAAAAATGAAATTAGCGAAAGGAGCTAGAACGTTATGATAGAAGAAGACGCGAGAAAACCGTCGATATTACCACGAGTGAACCCAGCCTTTAGCATATACAATTGGTTCGAAAGATGAAGAAATGGTTGGGAACCCAGGCTTCTATCAATATTGCTAAAGTCTTGTCTATCCAGGAGTTAATGAATTCCACGCTGAGGCATTATTACGATGAACACGGTGTAGTTGGTCCTTTTATAGATAATGAAGTTGGAATTTTAAATGTTTATGCTCTTGCCCATCATTTTAGAGAGAGTGGAACAGTATACGAAGAAGATTGTCCTATCACTGAGGAGCAGGTTTTCCTGGATGAGAGCACAACGACTGAGGTAAAATGTTCTCTCTCCTTCATTTTCTTCTCTCTTTGTTAAATTAACCTTTAATTAATGTTGTTTTCCCTTGATACAGGGATGTGAGAGAATTATCCCAAGCATTTGTGACGTTCATTCTATCTATGATTACGTAGCGGACTATGGTGGTGAGGATGGTGTATCAATGTTTCATCAAGAGTTGGAGTATCAGCTCAGGGAGGGAGGACCACTCAGTATTCAATTCGAAGTGTATCCTTCTTATTACACCACTCAGGTCAGGAATTGTATTTTAATTCTGCTTCTTAGTTTACTTTCATATATTTTCTAAAGCATTTGATTTCCCATCTTTGTTTTTGTGGATTAATACTTGATCTCAGAATCCCACTAATTTTTAACTTTTTGTTTTTTTTTTAGGGAAACCTCTATAATCCTTCTAATTCTGAACTTGAGTTCATTCCTCTTGGTGGACACTATGTCATCGCCACTGCATTAGGCACACTTGATGGATTCCTCGCCTTGGAGTGTCAAGATACACTACTAGAAAACAAATATTTTGTTAGAATTTTCCAACAACTTAAAAGTTATTGCTTCTATCCAACAATATATAATATTTGTTGGAAAATTCCAATAATATTCATACAAATTATACAACGTAATTACTACAACTAAAATTTGTAATGAATTTCCAACGATATAATATTTCTTGGAGATTTTCAACGACTTTCCTACAAAGTATGCAATGTAATTGTCACAATTATAATTTGTTGCAAATTTGCACTGAATTTCCAACAATATAGTATTTGTTGGAAAATTTCCACAATTTTTCTATAAATTATGTGATGTACTTGCCACAACTTAAATTTGTTGGAAATTTACAATAGATTTATAACAAATATAATACTAAACGTAATTTTATGGGATATTCATTGGAAATTTCCAACAAAATTCGATTGTTAGAAACATTTGTTGGAATATGCCATGTTTTCTAGTAGTGATATCATTAGGATCGAGTTAGAGAAAGTAAAAGATGACAAAAAGAGAGTTTGACATCAATGTTTGGACTGTTTAAAATAGATAAACAAAAAAGAAAAGTTCACCCAAATTGACATTAATTGAATGGATCTCTCGATCTTAAAATTTAATTACACTCTTAACTTTTTTGCTTTGGTAAAATGTAAAAAATCTTCATAGATTTTTGATTTTGTACAAAAACGGAAATAAAATAAAGAGAAACATAAAACCAAAAACTATTCAACAAACAACAGTACCGTAGAAGGCCATAAAAGATGAAATTAAGGAAAGGAGCTAAAAAGTTTGATTGAAGAAGACACGAGAAAACCGTTGATGTTACCACGAGTGAACCGCGATCCAAACCTAGCCTTTAAAATGTCATTTGGATCGAGTTAGAGATGGTAAAAGATGTCAAAAAGAGAGTTTGAAATCTTTTTTTGGACTGTTTAAAATAGAGAAACAAAACAAAACATTTCACCCAAACTGATATTAATTGAATAGATATCTCGATCTTAAAATTGAATTACACTCTTAGCTTTTTTTTTGTTATGGTAAAATGTAAAAATTTATACTAGATTTTAGATTTTTTACGAAAACAAAATAAAACAAAGAGAAACATAAAACTAAAAACTAAGCACCAAACAACAGTACTGTGGAAGACCATAAAAGATGAAATTAACGAAAAGAGATAAAACGTTATGATAGAAGAAGACACGAGAAAACCGTCAATGTTGCCACTAGTGAACCGAGATCCAAACCCAGCCTTTAACATATCATTAGGATCGAGTTAGAGAAGGGAAAAGATGACAAAAAGAGAGTTTAACATCAATGTTTGGACTGTTAAAAATAGATAAACAAAAAAAGAAAAGTTCACCCAAACTGACATTAGTTGAATGGATCTCTCGATCTTAAAATTAAATTACACTCTTAACGTTTTTGTTTTGGTAAAATGTAAAAATTTATACAAGATTTTAGATTTTATATAAAAATGGAAATAAAACAAAGAGAAACATAAAACCAAAAATTATGCATAAATGTAAAAATTTATAGAAGATTTTAGATTTTAAACAAAAACGGAAATAAAACAAAGAGAAACATAAAACCAAAAATTATGCATCAAACAACAGTACTTGTGGAAGACCATAAAAGAAAGAATTAACGAAAGGAGCTAGAAAGCTTTAATGGAAGAAGACACAAGAAAACTGTTGATGTTACTACGAGTGAACCGCGATCCGAACCTAGCCTTTAAAATATCATTAGGATCTAGTTAGAGAAAGTAAAAGATGACAAAAAGAGAGTTTGAAATCATTTTTTGGACTGTTTAAAATAGAGGAACAAAACAAAACATTTCACCCAAACTGATAATTGAATGGATATATTGATCTTAAAATTGAATTACAATCTTAAATTTTTTTTTTTATTTTGGTAAAATATAAAAATTATATCATAAATTTTTTACAAAAAAGGAAAAAAACAAATAAAACATAAAACTAAAAAAAAAAAACTAGACAGCAAACAACAGTACTGTAGAAGGCCACAAAAAATGAAATTAACGAAAGGAGCTAGAACGTTATGATAGAAGAAGACACGAAAAAAACCGTCGATGTTGCCACAAGTGAACCACGATCCAAACCAAGCCTTTAACATATCATTAGGATCGAGTTAGAGAAGGGAAAATATGACAAAAGGAGATTTTGACATCAATGTTTGGACTGTTTAAAATAGATAAACAAAAAAGAAAAGTTCACCCAAACTGACATTAATTGAATGGATCTCTCGATCTTAAAATTGAATTACACTCTTAACTTTTTTGTTTTGGTAAAATGTAAAAATTTATACTAGATTTTAGATTTTATACAAAAACGGAAATAAAACAAAGAGAAACATAAAACCAAAAACTATGCAGCAAACAACAGTACTGTGCAAGACCATAAAAGATGAACGAAAGGAGCTAGAAAGCTCTGATGGAAGAAGACACGAGAAAGCTGTTGATGTTACCACGAGTGAACCGCGATCCGAACCTAGCCTTTAAAATATCATTAAGATCTAGTAAGAGAAGGTAAAAGATGACAAAAAGAGAGTTTGAAATCTTTTTTTGGACTGTTTAAAATAGAGAAACAAAACAAAACATTTCACCCAAACTGATAATTGAATGGATATCTCGATCTTAAAATTGAATTACAATCTTAACGTTTTTTTTATTTTGGTAAAATGTAAAAAATTATATCATAGATTTTTTACAAAAACGAAATAAAACAAAGAAAAACATAAAACTAAAAAAAAACTAGGCAACAAACAACAGTACTTCAGAAGGCCACAAAAGATGAAATTAATGAAAGGAGTTAGAACGTTACGATTGAAGACGACACGAGAAAACCGTCGATATTGCCACGAGTGAACCGCGATCCAAACCCAGCCTTTAACATATCATTAGGATCGAGTTAGAGAAGGTAAAAGATGATAAAAAGAGAGTTTGACATCAATGTTTGTACTGTTTAAAATAGATAAACAAGAAAGAAAAGTTCACCCAAACTGACATTTATTGAAATGATCTCTCGATCTTAAAATTGAATTACACTTTTAACTTTTTTGTTTTGGTAAAATCTAAAAATTTATACTAGCTTTAAGATTTTATACAAAAATGGAAAAATGAAAAAATAAAAAGATAAAACCAAAAGCAAATAATAGTACTGTGGAAGACCATAAAAGATGAAATTAATGAAAGGAGCTAGAAAGCTCTAACAGAAGAAGACACGAGAAAACCGGTTATGTTACCACAAGTGAACCGCGATCTGAACCTAGCCTTTAAATATCATTAGGATCGAGTTAGAGAAGGTAAAAGATGACAAAAAGAGAGTTTAAAATATTTTTTTGGACTTTTAAAATAGAGAAACAAAACAAAATATTTCACCTAAACTGATATTGAATGAATGGATATCTCGATCTTAAAATTGAATTACACTCTTAGAATTTTTTTGGTTATGGTAAAATGTAAAAATTTATACTAGATTTTAGATTTTTTGCAAAAACGAAATTAAACAAAGATAAACATAAAACTAAAAACTAAGCAGCAAACAACAATATTGGAGAAGGCCGCAAAAGATGAAATTAACCAAAGGAGCTAGAACGTTCTGACGGAAGAAGACACAAGAAAACCGTCGATGTTGCCACAAGTGAACTGCGATCCGAACCTAGCCTTTAACATATCATTAGGATCGAGTTAGAAAAGGTAAAAGATTACAAAAAGAGAGTTTGAAATCAATGTTTGGACTGTTTAAAATAGATAAACAAAACAAAAGAGTTCACCCAAACTGACATTAATTGAATAAATCTCTCGATCTCAAAATGAATTAGACTCTTAACTTTTATTTTGTTTTGGTAAAATGTAAAAATTTATACTAGATTTTAGATTCTTTACAAACACGGAAAGAAAACAAAGAAAAACATAAAACTAAAAGCTATGCAGCAAACGACTGTACTGGAGAAAACCACAAAAGATTAAATTAACCAAAGGAGCTAGAACGTTCTGATGGAAGAAGACACGAGGAAACCGTCGATGTTGCCACGAGTGAACTGCGATCTGAAACCGTCGATGTTGCCATGAGTGAACCGTGATTCGAGTCCAACCTTTAAAATGTCATTATGATCGAGTTAGAGAAGGTAATAGATGACAAAAAAGAGAGTTTGAAATCAATATTTAGATTGTTTAAAATAGATAAACAAAACAAAAAAAAAAGTTCACCCAAACTAATATTTATTGAATGGTAGCTCGATCTTAAAATTGAATTACACTCTTAACTTTTTTTTGTTTTAGTAAAATGTAAAAATTTATACTAGATTTTAGATTTCTTACAAACACGGAAATAAAACAAAGAGAAACGTAAAACTAAAAGCTATGCAGCAAACAACAGTATTGGAGAAGGCCTTAAAAGATGAAATTAACCAAAGAAGGTATAACGTTTGTAACGAAAGAAGACACGAGAAAACCGTCGATGTTGCCACGAGTGAACCGTGATTCGAGCCCAACCTTTAAAATGTCATTATGATCATTTAGAGAAGGTAATAGATGATTAAAAAAAAAAAGAGAGTTTGAAATCAATATTTAGATTGTTTAAAATAGATAAACAAAACAAAAAAAAAAAAGAAATTCACCCAAACTAATATTTATTGAATGGATAGCTCGATCTTAAAATTGAATTACACTCTTCTTCTTTTTTGGTAAAATGCAAAAAGTTATACTAGATTTAAGATTTTTTACAAAAACGGAAATAAAACAAAGAGAAATATAAAACTAAAAGCTATATAGCAAACAACAGTACTAGAGAATGCCACAAAAGATGAAATTAACAAAAGGAGCTAGAACGTTCTAACGGAAAAAGATACGAGAAAATCATTGATGTTGCAACGAGTGAACCGCGAACCAAACCCAGCCTTTAACGTATCATTAGGATGAGCTCTATGTTCTCTGTGCCCATTGTTGGGTAGGCTAACGGAATCGAGGCAGGGTGGGGTAACCTCGGAGGAGGTGCAAAGCAGCTGATCATACCCATCGTGTTCTCGTTGATTCGGAAGATGGGAGCCACCAAGTTCACGGCGTGGAGGGTTGCTTTCTTCATCCCCAGCCTCTTTTAGACTCTCTTTGCTTTCGCCGTTTTCTTGTTCGGTCAGGTAACAAACCAATCACACTCACCGTTTCAGTTATTTTGGTTTATCCAGTTTTGAAAATGTATGGCCGGGGTTTTCTAGTTTTGGTTAAATTTTAGTACATACATTATTAGTACATGTTTTTCATTTTATTCGGTTATCTACAAATGATTAAACCGATTCGATTAGGTGAAAAGCTGGTTTACTGATACCGGTTTCGTTTTGATTCATGTAGTAGAATCTTTAGTCGGTTACTCTTTTTTTTTAATAACGTCTGGATTTATAATTTATTGCAAATTATGAGAACTGTTACATAGACGATTCTACAACGGACAATTCCTTCCGACCCTTATTAGATCCACGACAAACGACACTTCCTTCTTCATGCTCTTGACGAACACCTTCCAATGATCCACGACCTGACGACACTTCTCTCTCTGCGTAGAATCCTGGCGAACGGCGTCTATAATTGTTCATCGCTGGAGATCTCATACACACTTGCCTCCATTAATCTGCAAATTTATTAATAAATCGCAGTATCTGGGACTCAAACCCCAACCATCTTGGTGTAGAAGCATTAATTAACCCTTTATCAACCAATCGACGAAGGAATTGTAAATGGATACATTTATGTTGTCACCAATTTTTTTCTTTTTAATTTAAAAGGATCTTCGTGATGGGGATTATTGGGCGATGCATAAATCTGGAGAAAAGGAGAGTCAAAAACTATAGTGGATGGATAACAGCATTAGCATATGGCTATTGTTTTGAGACAATTTCGTTGAACTTTGGACTTTGGACTTTGAAGGTTTCATTGAATTATCGTGGTTCTCGTATGAATCTGAGGTGCGCGAAAACAATAAGAAATTAGCTCAAGGAGTACTAAAAAAGGTGCTAACGGCAGTGGGACTCCTGCGGGTAATTAGCTTTTTATGATTATATTGGTAATAATCCAGCAAAAGGGGGGTTATTCCGAGCAGGTTCAACGAGAAATACGAGACATCTAAGTCATACAAGTAAAGAGATCTATTCATTGATAAGAAAAAGAAAAAACGTAAGCCTTAAGAGCGGGATGGAGCGGTCGAAGACGGTCGGTTGCCCGAGTGAACGTCGAAGGTAAGAAGTAGGCCATTATCTCGGCAATAATGAGCCAAACTAGTATTTGCGGTGAATCCCCCTGTTAAGTAGTCATGCATTACGATAGGAACTCCCACGGACTTTCGATAACCGGCTTGTGGAGGTGCTCATTATGTCGTTCGTTATGCTTCTTGTGATTGAGGTGTCCGGTGGTGGACGTTCCCTTGGAGAGCGCAGTACAACGGAGAGTTGTATGCTGCGTTCGGGAAGGATGAATCGCTCCCGAAAAGGAATCTATTGATTCTCTCCCAATTGGTTGGACCACCTGTTTGTTTTCCGAGCGAGAAAGAGATAAATTGGAGAACAATTTCGTTTAACGTACACCAAAAACATCATTTCGAAAGTATTTTCAACGAGATTGAACCAACTTGAATTGATGGGATAAGATATGTAGACCCCGCTCAACTACACATATCATTTAGTCTCTCGACAGATAATTCCTTCCATAAACTAAAACCTAACTGAAGAATTAATATATAAATATTTACCTTTTGGTGATATCCCTAATCATATAACTACAAAAATTTAGAGAGTACACACATAGCAAAGTCAATAATCCAACGGTAAAAGATAGCAGTATTGATGGAGCGGCAAACGACCAAACAACAAATCGTGCTGAAAATAATAATGTCTCACCAGAATTTTTCAGCATTAATTGAAACACACAACAAACCTCTCCTTATTTAATGAAACCACATTTCAAACACTCATGTTTTCTTATAAAGAGAGGCCTATTATTTTACAGCTCATGGAATCACACTATCACAATCATAACCACAAAATAAACACTATGGGACAACTCAAAAGTCTCTTCACAATTCTTTTCCTAATAGCTATGTTGCCAGCCGTAACATTTGCCGGTAAAATACCGGCGATCATCGTGTTTGGCGACTCTACTGTTGATGCTGGGAACAACAATTATATCCCAACTGTTGCGAGAAGCAACTTTGAGCCCTATGGACGGGACTTTGTTGGTGGAAAGCCGACCGGACGGTTTTGTAACGGAAAGATTGCGACGGATTTTATGTCCGAAGCCTTAGGGCTTAAACCAATTATTCCGGCATACTTGGATCCTTCTTATAACATTTCAGATTTTGCAACAGGTGTCACCTTTGCTTCGGCTGCCACTGGCTATGACAACGCCACTTCTGATGTTCTGGTACGGACTTTTCTTACACTTGTATTTATTACATATATACTATTTGATATGATACATAACTACACGTCTTTATAAAACATTTATGATTGATGAGATATAAAATATAGTATAATATTTATGAAAAAAATTATCATAGTTGTTTTGGTTATAGAATGTAACAAATCTTTGTATTTTATTCGTAAGAAGTCTTTGTTTACACTTATGTATTTATTTAACGAAATTTTAATTTAATACATACGAAAAAACTATATTTTCATGAAATTTCGTTTGTAAACTTTGATAAATATTTTTTTTTTTAAATCGCGATAATATTTCAAGGCAAAGGTTGTTTTGGGATATTATCCTACTGTAGTAATTACAGACCACTGATTGTGATTGCAGTCGGTACTACCTCTTTGGAAACAACTCGAATACTACAAAGAATACCAAACAAAACTTAAAGCATACCAAGGTAAAGAAAGAGCCACAGAGACTATAGACAACTCTCTCTACCTCATAAGCATAGGCACCAACGATTTCCTCGAGAATTACTTTGCCTTTCCAGGCCGTTCTTCGCAATATTCCGTCAGTCTTTACCAAGATTTTCTAGCCGGAATCGCGAAAGACTTTGTGAAGAAGTTGCATGGACTTGGTGCAAGGAAGATCTCACTAGGTGGATTGCCTCCAATGGGATGCATGCCTTTAGAGAGAGCCACCAACATTGGCACAGGAGGCGAGTGTGTTGGACGGTACAACGACATAGCGGTCCAGTTCAACAGCAAGCTTGAGAAGATGGTTGAGAAGCTGAGCAAAGAGCTTCCTGGTTCCAACCTCGTTTTCTCAAATCCTTATGAACCATTTATGCGGATCATCAAGAACCCTTCCTCTTTTGGTAAGCTAGCTAATTAACAATCCCATCATAAATAACTTTATTATTTCTCTAAACATAACTACATGTATTAATGTTTGAATGGTGAAAAAATGAAGGGTTCGAGGTGGTGGGAGCGGCATGTTGCGCGACAGGGATGTTCGAGATGGGATATGGTTGCCAAAGGAATAACCCATTCACATGTACCAACGCAGACAAGTATGTGTTTTGGGACTCATTTCACCCAACACAGAAGACTAATCACATCATGGCCAATGCTCTCATGAACAGCACATTCCCTCACTTCCTCTAAATGGTTTTTATGTTTGTGTGTGGAAACTAGATATAAGAGTAATATTATTATTAGGGATTGCTTCTCATATTTTTGATATGCACTCTGTATGTATTTATATTTAAGTAGATTTTGCTTTTGTGTTAGTTAGCGAAACCTATGTTTCTTTTCTAGATTATGGTGTGCCTATGTAATTTTATTCTCTTTAGCTATTCTCAATATATCTATGTTTCATTCCATTATGACAATTTTGGGGCGGTGTGTTATTATTTCAAAATAATAGCATTTATGACTTTGCACTAAAATTTTTGTATACTAAAAATGCCAGCACAATTATGTTTACAATATACAAGTGTGAAGTGTGTATAAATTTATTTATTTACAATACAAAAATATGCACACATAAATAAATGATATTTCTAATAAATTTGTAACGGATTTAAATCCTTATTTAATAAATCACAAGTCACTTCTCTAATAACTGCACCATTATCCTTCAACCACGTGTCTTAAGTCTTAAATTATGTACTTTCACTTTTTTCTTTTTTTACACTAATTTACGATTAAAATCAAAATTGACTTTTCTCCATCACCCCCCCACCACCACCCACGATCTCTTGCTTCTCCTACAAAAAAAAAAAAAAACTTCCACATCTTTTTTTTTTTTAATTTTGTTTTCCTGCAACTTTTCTCGAAATAAAATTTTTTTTGAAATTTCAAAGATTTTGTTTCCTTCTAATTTACACAATAACTAGGTTTCTCATCCCGACTATGAAATTAGTTCTCTTTTACCTTGCAATATATCTTCAATAGAGAAACTAATGCTATTTTCGCCCGTGCAGAGCACGGGTCAAACACTAGTATACAAATAAATCACTAATCATATATATAGAAGTTGGTTAACTCTCTCTTAATAGTTTGTGATTAAAATTTTTGCCGTTTTTTAAACATCACTTTAGGGAGGTTAATAACAACGTTGATGTCCCCTCTTCCACTTCCAATATGTATTTTTTGGCAAGATATATTGTTGTGACGATCTAAAATCTCTGCAAACTAGGGTTCGTCCAACTTTTCTATAGGTAATCGTCTTCCAAAGCCATAACCACATCCTCTTCCACTTCTATTTCTTTGTCTGGGTCATATCTCGTAATTTGATGTCTAGTTTTTGGTTACTTTACAGGTCTCCTTCCACGGTTATCGTTGTATCACTTGGAGATCTCACAGACACTATTGATCTCGGTTATACTACAAAATAGAAGCTTGGCGAGTAAATCGTTGGAGTATATCAATTGCCATGACAAGTACAAAGATATTTTTATTAGCTATTATGAGTATATTAAAAAAAGTTCAAAGTTTTTATGGTGCTTTATCTAGAAGATTTGATATTTTAGAAATTTCATTTTAAGAAGTTAAAGAATTGATACTTTTCAAAGAAAGTTACATAGTAATTTTGACCAGTTTTTCTATTATAGTATAGTTTGAAAAATATTAAATGATGTTGGTGTTTGACGCGTGTAAGTTTTCATTAAAAATAAATTCTAATGTATATAGAATCAAATCTAGAGGTATTCAATGGTAATATAACATTCTTATACTTTTCTCAAACCGCATCTATAAATAAGGAGGAACAGAGGAAGCAACCATACATCTTTTGGTTTTTAAGAGAGAGCGCTCTGAAGTTTTAGTTTCAATAAGCAAAGTAAATTTAGTTAAAGATTAATAATATTCCAATCATTTTTTTCTTTTTGCACTAATTGAGAATAAATTTTTATGTGTACACGGTGAAATCGGCAGGATTGGTTTTGCTGGAACTTATAGTAAATACTAGAAAGTCCGCTTTTTTGGAATATTAGAAGCCCATGATTTCAAAAAAATTATTTTGGTAAAAAAGCATTAACTTCTTTTCCTACATAAACCATGGGTCTAAATACCATAAAAGTGAGCCTATAGATATTTGCAATTTGTTCCACCAAAACTGACCTCGTGATTCCATCGTGTACACACAAAATTTTCTTTGATTAGTATATCAGGCGGTATATGATTGAAAAGATTATTAATTTGTAGCCATGCTTGTATCCCATAGTAATTTTTTATTCAAAAATCAATATAGTTTTTGCATTCATATTTCATTATTTAAAAAAACAATTTAGATCGATTGAATTAACTTGATCAATTAATCTTTATGTTGTTTTAAAAATCATTTGAATGTATTTTTGTAATTTTTGAGTAAACAATGCATCCGAGTTTACATTCAAATTTGTTGTTTGTAACAAGTTACATCAATTCAACTAACCTAATGAAGTAATCCTTTTACTATTTTTGTTTTGTTTTAGTCATTTGATGTTTTTTTTTCTATAAAACTTTATCACAGCTTATTTATTTGTTTTTAATTAAAATTTTCAACGCTTATTTATGATTAATTACTTCACTTTTGGTCATGGGTACCAATTCTTCTGGGTAGCAAATGTAAATTTTCAATCCAACTTCTGTTAAGTTTAAGTTCAAGTTCTTCACTTTTACATTTTAGAGTTTTTTGTCAATCTCCCTTTTTTTTATTAACTATAAAAACTATCAATTAAAATTGGTTTTTAGCTTGAAAATCCTTCTGAAGAGATTTGGTTATATTTTTTTTCAGAGTGTACCGAGACCAAATGGCTGCGGCGCATCAAGGCACTTCTTCGACGGTCTCCGTTATTAAAACAAAAAAAAATCAATTTGGTTTACGGTCAAAAATATATTAATCTTAGTATGGTTGAATTTCATTATCCATTCTTATCAACAAACAGTTGGAACTGAATTGTCAAAAAATATTTGTAATAAATTTACATGAAACCATGAAACATTTTAACAACAAAAAAAAAAGGCAATAAAGGCCTATGAAACTATGAACAAAGTAATATACTTATCAGATCAAACCCCAAAAGTCAATCGGTCCCAAAATTTTGAAGCACATTTATGTTAGTAGTTGAATAAATGTGAACCTGAGAAAGGAGACATACGATCCCAATCTTATAATTAATATAATAAATTATCTGGAAATTATTTGTTAACAACTGACAACGTAGAAGAAAATGGTGCCATACTGTCATAAAATGGTGCCATGTTTCGTATGTAGCCATAGGCCCATACGGATCTCTGACATTATCGATGTTACTAATTCAACATCTGATCAATCAATTATTATAAGCACTAAATAATGACATTTTTAAAAAGAAGGATTTCAATCAAAAGTTTGTGCAGTGATAGATTTACGTTCTACATCTATTTGTTCTTAGCTCTATCACCGCTATGTTCCGTATTTTTGCCAAAAAACAAATTCGGGAATCCATAGTCGCCAAAAACTATATTGAGAGGTGTATATGGTTATGATATGAGAAAAAATACCAAAACAAAATAAAACCATTTCACATGCAGAAAGCTATGAAGATGCAGCATCTAAAGGAGTTCCTGAACTAAATCAAGATACTTCAAGAAGTAACTCAAAAGAACAGAGCAACTTGAACAAGATTAAGGAAATATGCAGAATCTTGTTATGGCGGTTTGAAGTGAAGGCTAGAAGCTTGAAGAAGATTCTAGAAGACTGAAGAGTTTCCTTTTGCAAGAAGAAAAGGAAAACATGAAGACAAATGACAATTTCCTATTCCATAAAGAAAAAATAAATTGTCCATTCCAATTAGTTTTAGAATTGGAAATCGACCTGTTGTATGGTCTCAACCTATTTAGTATAAATAGGAGTGCTAAGGCTTGCAGAAAGCTGAGCACAATCACGAGAGAGAATTCCTAGCTATTAAGTCTTAGTTTGAGAGAAATAGAGAACTAGAGGCTTAAAGAGAGCTAAGGGTTTTAGGGAGAGTTATTGTTCTTAATCGGTCTGTGATTAAGGAAGAAGACTTAGTGAGAATAGAAAATAGTGTTAAAGGAGAAACCTTGTAAACATATTTTCTATTAATCGAAAGAGTTTTTGAGGAATCCTGAGTTACATCGTGAACTAATTCAAAACTTAGTGGCTCTTGCATTAACAATTGGTATCAGAGCAGTCGCTTGTGAAGATTACATACAGGTGAGATCTTGTGGAAAAGATGGAGAGCTATCAAGAACTGGTTAAAAACACGAAGGTTGTTCTAGACGATGGTAACTATGGTTTTTGGAAGTCAAGAATCAAATTTGTGATAAGAGGGATAGATGTGTTAGCTTGGAAAGCTGTCTTGGAAGAATGGAAAGAACCACAAATTAAGAATGAAGATGGAAGTTTCACAGCCAAACCCGAGTCAGACTGGACTGAAGATGAGAAGAAAAAGTCTAAATTCAATGCTAGAGCTCTCACAGCTATTCACTGCAGTGTTGGAAGGAAACAATTTGACTTAATTCAGGGGAGTGAAACGGCTAAGGAAGCTTGGGACATCTTACAGATTCACTATGAAGGAACAGCTAAAGTTCAGACATCAAGGAAAGATATGCTGGCCTCTAGGTTTGAAAATCTGAAGATGGAAGAGAATGAATCAATTTCGGATTTCAGCTCCAAACTAAGCTCACTAGCTCAAGAAGCATCAACTCTTGGAAAGAAGTACAAAGACAAGGAATTGGTTAAGAAATTCCTGAGGTGTCTACCATCAAAGTTTTTGGCCTACAAGACTGCTTTAACAGTATCAAATAGCACGGATACGCTCAGTTTTGGAGAAGTGGTGGGAATGCTTCAAGCACATGAGTTAGAATTAGGAGGAACTAAGAAACCTAAAGGTCTAGCATTAACCTCTTGCGAAAACAAATCTCAATCAGAAGAAGAAGATCCATTGAGCTTGTTGGTTCGAAGATTTGATCGTGTTTTAAGAAGGGCAGAACAAGGACAAGGACAAAAGAAGTTTGGATCATTCAAAAAGAATTCTGACGACACCAAACCATCAAAGAAAGCTGACATGCAATGTCATGAATGTAAGGGGTATGGACACTTTATTCGTGAATGTCCAAGTCCAGAAACGAGAAACTAAATGCACAACATGCAAAGGAATGGGACATGCTCAAGATGACTGTATCAGTAGTCGAAAAGAGAAATCAATGGTTGGTATTGAAGAAGAATCTGAGGAAGAGAGTGAAGAAGAAGAAATCTTAAATTATGTAGCGTTGATAGGCATCACTGAGTTTGTTGAAGGTGAAGAAGAAACTGACTCTGAATCAGATGGAGAACAACAAGTGGATTTTATTAAAAGTTACAAAGAAGTGAGAGAAACTTTAATTAAACTTGGAACAGAAAATCAAGACTTGCTGAAAGAAAAGATACGTCTCGAATCACTTGTTAAACTATTACAGAATCAACTAGAAGATGAAAAGAAGATTAGCAAAGAAAGCTTGAGTTTGATGAAAGAAAAACTAAGCTTGTCTGCTAAAACTGATAATTTGGAGAAAGAACTGATCGCTGAAAGGAAGATATATATCCGCAGGACTACAAACAGAACTTAATCAACAACATCGGAAGATTCACATGTTTGCAGGAACAAAACAACTAGATCAGATTCTAAGCTATGGAAGGACAGAAAAAACAAACAGAGGACCAATCGGAGGAAGGAGACATGTTAGAGAAACTCGGTCTGATGGTGGTGCAGAAAACCCTCAACTGATTGACGAACCCATCGAAGAACCAGCGAGATCTATTACAATGCCTCTTTCTCTTATTCCTTCTGTCGATGAAGATGACTCATTTGCAACGGCTATTGAAGAACATAAGAGCAGCGAGTCAGAGGAAATTCGGAAACCTGAACGTGAATCAAAGAAGTCTGATGGAGAAACTGAAGTTCTTTCTGAACAAATCGAAGAAGACAAACTTAAGGAGGAAGTTGTGCCCACAGAAACGGTACCCACAAACGATGAATCAACAGAAGCTGGGCCAACGGAAGGAATTGAGAATTTGGAAAATCAAATTGAAGAATCAAGTTTGATTTCATCTCAGAATGATGAAATTCGTGATCAATCTGAGCAAAATCAAAAGCAAGATTCAACTTTCTCAGAACAAGCTGAACAGACTGTTATCGGGTCACATGCAGAACAGATTGAAGAAGCAGTAGATGACAGAAATGTTGGAGTTACAGAGGAAAGGGTTGGAGATGAACCAATCCACGTCTCGGATGTTGAAATTGAGCCTACTAAGATGACTGTTGAGGAACAATTTCAGAAAAATCAGAAGGAGAAGGAAGTTCGTAAGAAAGGAGTCTTTAAACAGCTAGGTCTAGCTCCTCCAAAGAAGAAACAGAAGAAGACTGAACCAAGTTCAAAGAAGAACAAATCTATCAAGGCTTCTGGCTCAGGCAAAAGTCCTTCCAAGAAAAGCATTCGATCAAAGCTATTTTCATCACCTCAAGCTAAAGCAAGGTATGATTTGTTTAAAAGTAGAAACTTGATTGAGGAACGCCTGATTGATTTAGAAAAAGATGATTCTTGGGGCTACTTAACCTTGATCAAGAATGCGAGATTGGAATCTACAGTAACAAATCTTGGAAGTTATGTACGGGAAGTAGTGTCTGAATTTTATGCAAATCTTCCTTGTGAAAAGTCTGAAGAAAATGCTGAGAAGGTCAGTGTGTTTGTCAGAGGGCATGACTATGAGTTTTCACCAAAGAAAATCAATAAGTTTCTTGGTTTTAAAGATTTAACCAAAGAGGAACTAAAGGCAGATAGTGATGTTGATTCTGTTGGAAAAGAACAACTTGCAGAACTGCTAAGTGAAGATGAGAAGACTGGCTGGGATGATTTAGTTTTCAAGAACCTTTCTCCTCGAATTGGAGCTCTTCTACGAATCACTGCTCAGAATTGGATTCCTTCATCAAATCCGGATTATGTATCAGTAGAATGAGCTCAGCTAATTTACAATATCTTCAATGGAATCAGGTTCGATGTTGGAAAAAAATCTTTGATCTAGTAATGTCCATTGTGCAAAATAAAGATGAGAGGTGGTTGGTGTTTCCTCGAATCATCTATGGCATGCTTATAAGTCAAAGAGAAGTGCCAATTCATTCTGGAGAGAAGTTTGTGAATCCAAAGTTTTACAAGAAAGATGTCAAAACTGGTCAAGCTTACACTGAACGAATGAAGGGTAAAGCAAAAGTTAATTCTCAGCCAAACACTTCAGGATCTGCTCCTCAAAAAGCCTCAGAATTCTCTTCTCAATTTAATCCAGAGTTTCAAGGGTCTGATGTTGTGGACATTGGAAGCATTCATATACCACATTCTGGTATGGATGATTCAGAGGGGATGTTTGTAGCTCTTATGGACACAGCTCATGCGATTTCTAAGCTGAATGAAGTAATTCACCGCCTTATTCTCAGTCATCCTATGTCCAACAGACTATAAAAAGTTGGTTTTTAACCTTAGGCTCTCAAGCAGGGGGAGAAGAGGTGTACGGATATAATTCTGGGGGAGTTCTGGTGTTATGGGGGAGTAGTTATTTGATGTTTTTGTTTGAACTCCAGATTTTGTTGTTGCTTGTTTTTCAGACTTTGTCAGATTCCGGGGGAGTTAGTTGTTTTGTTGGACGAAATTACTAAAGTTTTTAATAACTTCGGTTGTTTAAAGTCTGTGATTGCTTGTGATACAAAGTGTCTATAAAAGTTAGAAGATTTCAAATGCAGGTCCTTGAGAGACACAAGATTAAAAAGGGGGAGATTGAAGATGCAGCATCTAAAGGAGTTCCTGAACTAAATCAAGATACCTCAAGAAGTAACTCAAAAGAACAGAGCAACTTGAAAAAGATTAAGGAAATATGCAGAATCTTGTTATGGCGGTTTGAAGTGAAGGCTAGAAGCTTGGAGAAGATTCTAGAAGACTGAAGAGTTTCCTTTTGCAAGAAGACAAAGGACAATTTCCTGATCCATAAAAAAAAAGGAAATTGTCCATTCCAATTAGTTTTAGAATTGGAAATCGACCTGTTGTATGGTCTCAACCTATTTAGTATAAATAGGAGTGCTAAGGCTTGCAGAAAGCTGAGCACAATCACGAGAGAGAATTTCTAGCTATTAAGTCTTAGTTTGAGAGAAATAGAGAACTAGAGGCTTAAAGAGAGCTAAGGGTTTTAGGGAGAGTTATTGTTCTTAATCGGTCTGTGATTAAGGAACAAGACTTAGTGAGAATAGAAAATAGTGTTAAAGGATAAACCTTGTAAACATATTTTCTATTAATCGAAAGAGTTTTTGAGAAATCCTGAGTTACATCGTGAACTAATTCAAAACTTAGTGGCTCTTGCATTAACAAGCTAAACACCAAAAAAAAACATAAAATGTGAAAGTGGTGGTAATCAAATAGTTGAAGGATTTACTAAGAATGCCTTTTTTGTGTGTTTGTGCCCTTTTATTGTGGTGGTGGTGAAGTAATTGAAGAAGTCACTAACCAGAGGTGGTGGATTAGTGGTTCTAGTCTGATGGAATAGTGGCACTGTTGGTCTAGGACAGGGATTGATTCTCCCCAGACGCAGAATTGCTCAGCTTTATCCTTTTAGCTACATGGGTATGGGCCCATTGTTTACGGTCCATTTGAAAACCTGAGGGGAACCCTACCTGTGGGATATCCTCTCCCCAGGGATTAGTCCTAGACCCCTGCATAGGTGTAGGGATTTACCCGAGTTAAAAAAAAAAAAAAAAAAAAAAAAAAAGAAAAAAAAAAAAAAAAGAAAGTAGTTGATGGATTCACTAAAGCGTTTGTGTCTTTTTATTATGATTTTAATCATCTTTGACCACCCTTATACGTTTTTAGAAGCAAAAAAACCTCGGTTTCTATGGATTTCGGGAGATTAGTATAGGTTTTGGTTTTGGAATTTAACCGGTTAACCGAAAAAAAAATATAAATGCAAAGGCAAACTACAGTATATTATAAATGTATGCGAATATTAGTAATATTCTACGTCATGCATGGGATAATATTCAAAAAATTTGGGGTTAAATGTCATTCTAGTTTAGATGACTTTTTTAACGCCATATGTTATCTCTTAGTCTTAATGTAATTTTTGGTTTTATGGGCCGGAGCTAGTGATATTAGGGCTTGATTTTATGGTGGCCAAAATACCTTAATTGGTAAGACCACCTACTACTCGAACTCTTATCACTCAGTAGCGTTTTCGGGTTGTTTTGGTATGTAAGAAGCCCACATGGCATGGTGGTCAGACGATCTACACAACCAACAGTCAACGAAATTCGTTGAACCGCTTGCATGGTCCTTGATCAGGATCCAATCTAGGTAAGTCTTTCTAAAAGGTCCTAGGTTTTTTCTTGAGAGGATCATATTCTTATACTAAGAAAATTTCTTAAAACTTACTCAAGTGTGATATTTTTGAATTTTTAATTAACCTTGTCTCTTTCAAATGTGTAAAGAAATAAAATCAAGCCATCTCCACCATGTTCTCTTGAAAGATAAAAATTATAAAGTTGAAGGAACTATGCAAAATATGAAGGAGGTATGAACTCTAGAAACTATAGTCTTGCCCACGGAATAACTCATCGGCCAATTTTTAAAAATAGTTAAGAAGCATGTGAAACGCATATACAAGCTTGGGACAATTACAATCTATATATACAAAGAATCAAAATTTTTAACTTTTAATACTATATTATCTCAAGTTCTCTCTCTTTAAAAGCCATTTTCATTGACCTTGAGACATAATCACACTATTCTTTTTTCATTTATAAAATATACTTATCATAAATTACTGGAAATAGGTGAAAGAAAACAAAATTTGATACTTGCGTATGGAATAAAGACACATTGGTAAAAAAACACATTGATCTTATACATTTTTAAGTAGGGAGATGAAATTATATATATCAAAAATTAGTGTATTTGCATGCCAAATTAAGAAAATAAATAAAAAAATCATTTAATAGCAAAGAAAAGTAAATGAGAGTGAAAGTGAAGTCAACAATGAAGAGCCCCTCGGGCGCAATGCGTGCCGTCTTGTTTTGATAATTGCCGGCAATTTCCCTCTCTACCATTCCTTCTCTTCTTGTCTCCTCCAAAAATATTCATTACCCCAAAATATCTACTATCTAGATATTTTTTTTTTTGTATGTATTGTAATATAACTACAATATTGCAATTTGAGGATTTAGATTTGGATAAACTATTCGTGGAATGCATTTTTTTCAAGCTCTTATTCTATACTCCTACTTGTACTTGTATTAGATAATATATCAAGAAAAAGTATCTTAGCTTTGTTTTTGGAATTTATCTTTACCTAGTTTTCAGTTTACATGTAGTAACTCCATTAGCTAACTAAACCTAACTATATATATATATATTCATAAATAGTATTCTTTCCGTTTCATAATAATTGATGTTTAAGAGAAAAATGTATTTGTTTCACTTTATTTGATTTTTTTACTTTTCAACAATGAAACAAAAAGTATGATTTATGAATCAAAGAAATTGATGGCTGAAATTTTGTTTAATTTACACCATTTCGATTTAACTTTTTAGCTCTTTTTGGGTTTTCTTTTAAAGATTTTTTTTTAACGTCTAGATTTATTATATATTGCGAATCATGAGAATTGTTACATAAAAGATTCTACTACAGACAATTCCTTCCAACTCTTATTAGATCTCACCTCCGTCAAACCCGCGTCAAAGCCCCTCGTTAAAGACCTACGTCAAAGTAGGTTGCGTCGCCACCTCCGTCAAACCTCCGTCAAAGGAGGCTGCGGGAGGCTACGGGGCTGCAGGAGACGACATACAACACTTCCTTTTTCATGTTGTTGATGGATAAATGATCCACGACATGACGACACTTTCTTCTCTGCATAGAATCACGACGAACGGCTCTAATTGTTCATCATTAGAGATCTCTTGTACACTTGCCTTAATATCTGGAACTCGAACCCCATACCCCTCAGTATATAAGCATTAATTAACTCTTGGTTAATCAATGGACCAAAGAGGCTTCCACTTTTTAAAGACTTCAAATGTCATTTTTAATTGAAATATCTACTAGATACATATATATATATATATCGTATATCAGGCTAAATAGATTAAAGACACATTTGAGTTCAAGACACACATATCATTTAAAGAAAGTATTAAATTCTTAGAAATTTCTAGTAGATGGCATACTTGCCATTATACCTACATACTTGTTATTTCACGTTTCAACACCTGAATATTTGTCAGTATACAGTATATATATATATACATATTTATTATTGATATATGTAACGTGAATGCTCGAAACAAGGAAAGCTACGTAACTGCTACGACACTATAGTTTTTAATCAATAAGGATAACATATGTTATAATTTGCCAATTGATTTGACGTTAAACCAACCAATTACGTAACAAACAACGACAATATATTAAATACAAATATATAATTTGTTCATAAATATAGTAATACATAATCAACTAGTCTTCTTAATTCTTATTCACATTACAACAAGAAATGTAAATGTTGTAGAAAGAAGGTGAAAACACACAGAAAGTAGAAAAGCAGTTCGTTTTATCTTATTACGATCGAATTTGTTTACGATATAATCTGAATAACAATAATAAAAACTTTATGGAAATAGGACATTTTTCCAAAAAAAGAATTACATAATATGATAAAAAAAAGAGAGAAAATTAAACCAAAAATGCCTGGCCTTCCCATGTACGCCGACGACTGATCATGGTAACTTTTATTTTCCCGGCGAAACACCGAAGTAGCCTCTAATGCATCTCTTCGCAGTCATTATCGGTGAGAGTGTATATATAAAGTGGATTATGTATGTAAAAATATGCCAATATGTACGTACATGTAAGTGCTCTTTCATGTCTCCTCTTCGTCTTCATCATCCTGTGGAGAATTTGTTTTTCCTGCGTCTTGGTTTGAGAGAAAGAGAGAGGAGAGGAACTTTAAAAATCTTGTCCCAGTTTGGAGTTTGTTTTATATGTATATACAAAACTCACACGCATGTTCACTAAATAGAATTATGGGTATTTTAATGTCTATTTCATGTTGATATTTTATTAAATCATTGTAGGAAAACAAGAACTTTGACTTACGTGTTCGACCATCAGTGTGAACTTCTAGAAAAAACTTGCGTTCTTGCAAATTTCAGTTTTTCTTTAATGAGGTGTCAATCTTGGTAGATAAATGGTGCTACTAAAATGACATTAAAAATCTGCTATCTATAACGGATGTTAGAAATCTAAATAGACTAAATAGATACATTAATAGATATTGACTAATCACTGCCAAATGAAAACAATTTTTATTATTAGAGGCAGAAAAAAAAAATTGTTTTAGAATACATTAGGCAGGATTTTTTTTGGTGTTGCCTAGTTCTGGTTTTGATGTGTTCAAATGTTTGTTGCCTCTATGAGGATTTGATTTTTGTTGGTTTGTGCTTTGGTTTATCGATTAGAATTGGTGTTTGGAAGAGTTAGTAAGACCAATTGAATGTGTCGCGTTGTTTTGAACTATTGGATTTTGCTATGTGCTAACCGACATCAGAGAAACAGATTGGTAGAGTGAGGTAGCGCTATCATTTCTTTTGGTTTTTGTAGTTCCGTACTGAAAGAGCTCATGAAAGTTCATAAAGCCGGTTTCACTTGACGTGAGTGTTGTCCTTAATTGAAAGCTCTGTGTGCTACATCGTTGACGGCATGGCCGGTCCTGGACACAACAAAGTGAAATTTGTAAGAAAACTTATCTACAAAACAGCCCCAAATTTATTTATTTTCACGATAATTGGTCCTACCTTTTTAATTTTTTTAAAATAACCTTAATTTTTTTTTAGAGCATTTGGCCCCCAAAATCTCAGGACCAACCCTGGTTGACGGCTCCTGTTCTCGACCTACCGGTGAAAGGCTTACATTCACTTGGTTATCAATGATTCAATCATCGCCGGTTAAGGTGTCATCTAGGAAAATCCTCAAAATCATTTATCACTTCATTGATTCCGAAAGCGTCAGTTTTTTTGTGGATGTTGCCGATTGTTCTTTGCTTCTATAAATAACTTAACCATATATAATTTTCTTCACAATCTTAATGCTTTCATTTTTCAGTTATCTATCTCTTTGTTTCTTTGACCGCGAGTCAATATGACAAAATCCTGACCATCACAACACAACACAACACAAAACCCACATATTCTTTATAACGAAACGTCTCACTTCTAACATATCGATCTTCTTCTTCAGTGTTGAGTAGACAAACTCTAAATCTTGAATCTTCACATGATTGTTCCTCTAATTGCAAAAATGCTAACTCATGCCCAGTTTCTAAATTTTAGAGCTGCAAAAAACCAGTAGTAGTGGCTCTCATGGATATATATTACGCTCAACAGCAATGTCAGCTTAGGTTTGCAATGTCAGCTTAGGTTTTTGTAGTAGTAACAGTGTAAGCAATGAAGCAAATCTTGAAAAGTCTAGATTTTAATTTGGACATGAATGAGGCTAATTTCAAAAAGGTTTTTGTTTCATTGAAGCACCCATAAAGGAAACGTTATTTGATGGACAAAATTTTAGAATGTTAAATGTAGTAAGAACGAAGACTTGGTTTTAAGGCATTTTAGGCTATAGTAGAGATAATAATGAGAGTTTGTATTTAGCTGAATAATAAACATAGAAAGGAGAAACCCGAAAAGGTGGCTTTGATTCGCTTCCTACGTTAATTTTTTTGACCCATATATGCTCGGTCCATGTCATTCATGGGGACTCATGAGTATTTAGCCCCTGAGATCACAAGAGGAGATTGTCATGGAAGTTTTGTTGATTGGTGGATTTTTGGTATATTCCTCTACGAATTGTTAACCGGGGAAACGCCATTTAAGGGAAATAAAAACCGTGAAACGCTATTCAATGTTGTTGGGCAACCACTAAAGTTTCTACAAGGATCCATAAGTTTTGTGTAAGGGATTAGATCCGAATTCGACCCTCAAGAAAAAAAAAGAAAGTAAGAAATAAAAGCACACATGATTTGTAGTATGTTCACCCTCAACGTAAACTTTTGACGCTTCTATATCAAACGGTCTATTTCTCCGCGAGAAGTATGACATCATAACAGATAGAGCCCAAACTATGACCACGAGCTACTTATCCCCGAAAAAACAGTTCTATATATATTTTCCCCTGATACCAAAATTCAATATCTAAATCTCCCCGAATTAATAGTTCTAAATCTATAAACCCACAAGATTTGGTTTTGTCGGTTTACTATTTACTTAACCGATTTTTTTAAGAAACTAAACCCAATTATATCCAAAGGAAACCAGATTTCAGTTCAAAAAAAAAAAAAAAAACCAGATTTCAAAATTAAATAAATGAATTATTATTATTTATTTTATAAAAACACGTGTTTACTTGTTCCTCTTTTCTTCCTTCTTCCTTCATCGTTGGACTCTGATTTGCTTCACCAGCAACAAAATACGATTTGTGTTTCAAATTCAATTATGGACCCAAATTCTAAATTCAGTTATCAATCCAATATAAATCGATTCAGAGAACTATGCTTATATGTATCATAAAAATGTCAAAATTAGTATTTTAATGGAGAAATTGAAAACAATGGCTATCGAAGTCAGTCTCCTTCCTAACAATCTGAAGCAACGAATCAATGGCATCACATCTGTCATTTTTTGGGGGCTTACTGATTCATATTCGACCTCCTCATCATCAAAATCGTTCAGATCTAAGTACCTCTTTCGTTTCACAAAAATCGGAATAGCAAAAGGAGTCTCAAAACCAGATCTCTTCTTCTTCTTCCCTTCATAACTTTCAGATTCGAGATTCGCAGGCTAGATTTCTTAAGCTAGATACGAAGCACTTAGAATGTATTTCAGATTTCAGATTCGATTTTCCAGTCAATGTTTACCACTTAATGTGTTTAAAATGCTTTGTTAAATATCTAGCTATTCTTTAATTATTGTCAAATTTGAATGCAAATTCAAAATAAATCTGAAACCCATCGTAACAATCAAAGAGAGACATGCACTAATATTCCAAATAAACATAATTTGAAATGAGAAGACGAAGAATGAAGAAGACGCAGGAAGGGGATGTAATTTTGTCAATTTTTTTTTTTTTATCTTGTTGGTTATTAAAACTCTTTAAATCAAAAAGGTTTGACATGCAAGTGGTTTGAAATCGGTTTGAGTGGTTTGAAATCGGTTTGGTTCGTAAACCGATAAACCCAGATTTATGGAGAAATAGATGTAAACTATCGATTTGGAGAGATATATATTGAGAAATATTTTTTCGGGGACATCTGAATCGTGGTCATAGATTGGGCTCTATCTGTTATGATGTCATAGTTCTCGTGGAGAAATAGACCGTTTTTCCTCCCAAATGTGTTCTACTTTTCCCCACGGATTAGTCTCGGGTCCTTCATAAGCTTGGTAATTCACCCTATTTATCAAATAAAAAATGTTCTGTTTTTTTCCGAAACAACGTAAAACCTGTACAAACTTGATAAAAAAACACTTTGACTCAAAACAAAAACACCAAAAAAGATACTGAAAAAATATGGTTAAAAGCTGATAAAAATACGATACCGGCTCAGATGTAAGTCTATTTTCTACCGCTTTAGATTTCATGAAGATCAAAGAAATTCGGGAGATACAAGTTCATTAATCTCCTGCTAGTCTATTCTCGCTATCAACATATCACCAACATACAAAAGTAATATCAAATAGGACTCCTTAAGCCTCTTGAAATAACAAGAGTGGTCAACCTGACACCTTAAGAACTTAGATTTCTTCATAAAGCTATCAAACGTTTTGTACAATTTTCTTAGAGCTTGTTTCAAACCCGTACAAATTCTTGTGCAACTTACATACCAGATTTTATTTTCCTTTCACCTCTAAGCCTTTATGAATAATATTAACATTAGGTGTTAAATCTCTTCCTCCAACCCACCATGGAGGAACACCGTTTTTTACATACATTTTTTTAAGATGCAATTTTTCTTTTACCACCAATCCAAGAATAGTTACGATTATCACCAGCTTGACTAGATGGAAGAAAATTTATGTGTAGCCAACATCTTTAGTTTTTGAATACATTACTAAAACTAAACATACGCTGTTTTGTGATTAGGCTCCGGT